GGTCACAACAGGATCCCAGGCTCTGCTATTTAATCTCCTTCTCTCAACTTCCACTTCTATAAAACAGGTTACTAATAAGAATAGCTATTTCACAGTTACTGGGAGTTCTAATTAACCTGTACATGCTTGATCCTTGGTAACCTTATTTATAAAATGTGCCACTTTGGTGGCCTCTAGAAATTTCAAGACAGATTTGTAGATGCTTTTGGAACCTTTATGATGAAAGCCCCTATTCATGCAAAGTATTTTTTTAAACAAAATAGAGTATGGAGAGAACCGGAGGCTACAGTCCCCATCCTTGCAACAATTTAGAGAGTAATGATCTGGCAGATGGAGCCAAGAGTATGGTGGAATGTATGTTAATGACATAGGTTACCCCGCTGAGACAAGATCAGGGAGGATTGTGAGGGATTCCAGAAGGGTCCAGCAAAACTAGGAACAATGGAAAACAAAACAGAAGATGAAATTCTGCCATGACAACTGCCAGATGGCACACTTTGGAAGGACACTTTCAAGTGACTTGCTCACACTGACAGGCTTTGGAAACTGGTAATGTAGCAAGAAAGAAGTCTAAGTGCCCCTGCAGATAAATCAACAAGGCTACCAGTGCAACAGCATCATAGAACAGGAACTAAGATGTGAAGCTTCATAAGGGAACAGAATAATAATTCCAAGGCCATTACATAAAAAGATCCATAGCCTAGCAGATCAGCAATACACCTGCATGTGACAGAAAAAATCTAATTACAGTCCCATCTCCAACCTTCCCTTCTTAAATAAAAGTCATTGAGGATTTGTCTACATGTCGATTTTGCACTAAATTTAACTCCATCAGTTTAGAAACTGATATATTTGAAGGATGCAGTTCTCTGGCATGGGCACAGTTATACTGGTATAAGAGTGCTTATAGTAGTAGCAGCTATATCAATGTAAGCACATCAATAACTGCATAACTGTGAGAAGAGTGGTGTACTAATTTAACTAGATGGCCTTTCAAACCAATATCATCAGTCAAATTGGTACAAAAGCTGTGCATAGATAAGCCTTGGGAAAACAGAGACAACCAAGCTGCAGCAACATGTGTGACATCAGCCTATGACACAGACACTTCACAAGCAAAATCTAGTATGAGATATGCCATAAAAACAGCCCTAGTAGCACTGGCATCTTGGAAGGAAGAAATGGAGACAGATGAAGAAAGCAATATTTGAAGAAGCCACAGCTGGAGTCACACACACACAAAAAAAGATAAAAAACAAGGGTCTATCTAAACTATCTGTTCAATTAAAAAAAATCAGAATAACCCCCACTAAAGCAGTTACCAGAAATGATCATAAACATTTTTTTATGGCCCTTAATTCTAATCAATTACAGGGGAGCTAACAGCCATGCTAGGCCCCTGGGCAAGATGGAAGGGGCCGGCTCTATGCTCCCAGAAGGAAGAAGAGGGGGTCTGGAGCAGCTAGGGTTGCCAGGTGTCCAGTATTCACTCGGACAGTTCGGTATTTTCGGCTCCTGTCCAGTAAAAAAAATTAAAAGAATACCGGACACCTAAAATGTCCGGTATTTTCTGAATTTTTCCCTGGCCAGGAGGTAAAAATGCCGGGCACCCGGCAAACCTACAAGCAGTCAGCGCCCGGCCTCCCCCAGACCTCCCTTCTGGCCCCCAATACCCCCAGCCCCCTGATCCCAGTCCCCATACTTACCTGGTTCCCCAAGGCTGCGGGCACAAACTGGCTGCCTGGGTCTTAGTGCTCAACTTCTCCCCTGTTCCTATCCCTGCACTCATTCTTAAAGGGGACATGCTGTTTTAATGCTGATTTATTTATTTGGCTTAAGTCCTTGGAGTCCTTTTTGGTTTTTTTTGCTCAACAATTTTGGTCTCCCCCCTCTTTTTTTCCCCTTCAACAGAATTTTTTCCCAGTGTTTTGGGTTTTTTTTTTTGGAGGAGCGGTGTTCGGTATTTTTGTTTCAACCATCTGGCAACCCTAGGGGCAGACCATACCCGCTCCCCCCAAGTTCTCAGAGCAGCCCAGAGTACACCATGTGGTGCTCCAGTGGTGATTTAAAAGGTCCAGGGCTCTGGGTGCCACCACTGCTGTAGTAGCAGTAGCAGCAGCCAGGAGCGCAGGAACTTTTGAATTGCTGGGTCCTGGGGCACCTGCCCCCTTTGCTGCTCCCCCCAGCATGCCTGATAATTCACATTAAGGGCCATTTCCACTGACTGTTGGAGAGTTACTCAAGCCAAAGATGCCTGAATGCCAACCTAACCAGTGTCAGAATACAGATATCCAGGCCTGTGTTTAAAGGCCTATACTTTAAGGACTTAGATTCTTATCACTAGCTAAGTGATAAGAATACATCTATATTAGACGTATAAAAGAATCAAAATCACAAGTCTGCCTATGTCTGGGCCGTCTCTCACTGTGGCAAGTTGAGGCCTTCTTTGGCTAAGCAGCAGGGGCAGCCATAAGCTGGCGAGCATATGATCACATCCCTCACTTTTCAAACCAGTCATGATAAAATTAGGCTTTTAAGAAGGTGATTCACTCCAACACTTCCAGATAAAACAAAGATCTCAGAATGTTTAAAGAAAATTTAAGTTGATAGTTTTCTGTTTGGCAAGAACTCACTTATCAATAGTTGTGATTGTGAAACCCTCATTTATTTATTCTGTGTCTTTATGGTCTCCACTTTTTTATTGTTAATCTGTATGGTCTAGGATTGGCTCTTTAATTGTTTTTACCTGCTGTATACTTAATATGGGTGGATGTAAATCAAAGTTGGTGGGATATAATTGTTCAGGGAATTATGTTACAATACATCACGATTGATTAGTAAAATTTCACTACAATGATTGGCTAAGGGAGAGCTGAGACTATAACTGAATAAATTGGGGGCTAACAGGAGTTGGGGGGAGAAAGCAAAATTGGAATCATGCTTCCTGGAAGTTAACCCCAATGAACATTGAATTGTCTTCACTTTGGGTATGTTTACACTACCCTCCTAGTTCAAACTAGGAGGGTAATGTAGGCATACCGCACTTGCAAATGAAGCCCGGGATTTGAATTTCCCGGCTTCATTTGCATAAGCGGGGAGCCGCCATTTTTAAAACCCCGCTGGTTCGAACCCCGTGCAGTGCAGCTACACGGGGCACGAACGAGGAACTAGCGGGGTAGTGTAGACATACCCTTTGGACTTCTGGTTTTGTGGCTCTCTGTCTGCGTGAGAACCAGGGAAGTGGGAGGGTGAAGGGAAAATGACTTACAACCAGGTCTCCCATAAAGATGGGCCATTCTCCTTGATCTTCTCTCTTGCTCTTTTATTAGATTTGCATCTAATTTGATTTGAAGCTTTCCTAGGCAAGGACCTGCCACATCAAATCTCTGAAGTGTCCAAAACACAGATGCCCTGCACCCAACTCCTGTACCCTGAGAACTGATGGGTTCAGGTAGTGCACTTTCCTTCCTCTCTCCCTCACACTACAGAACCCAGATGATCCACCTTACTATGTTCTTTTAACAACAAGAAATTTCTAAGGGAAGTTACTTTTTCCAAGAAGGTTCACTGCTGGGGGAAACCCCTATTTCATTTAGTCCAGTATGACCTTTGCCATATAGAACCTACTGAAGGGATCCTGAATGCTCCATCCTGTCCACAGGGCCCCATGAGTCAGCATACTTCTGGTAGAGGTATATTTAGTCCTTTCATAAATTGGAATGCTTCAAGAATAAGGTGACCAGGTCAGTAGATTCTCAATGCACACCTGAGTGTACTAGGGATGTGAACAATTAGTCAACTATCTAATAAGCAAATGCTTATCGGATAGTCGACACACTAGTCAAATAGTAACTCCCCCTTCCTTGCTGCTTCTATATGAGGAGAAGATGCTTCAAAATGGCAGTGCTGTGTGGAGCCCAGGGCCAGATCCTGGGCTCCACACAGCGCTGCCACTTTAAAATGCCACAGGGAGCCCGGGGCCAGAGAGGGACTGCTTGAGTCCTCCACTGGCCCCATACTCCCTGCAGCACTTTTGCCTTTGAAGTGTAGCAACAGCCCCAGGTGGAGGTGCCCTTATCAACTAATCTAATAGTCAATGCAAATTGCATCAACTATTTGATTAGCCAATTAATCTAAATTTAACATCCCTAGAGTGTAATATAACTCCCCCACATTCTACCTGAGCCTAATACAAGAGGCGTCTTCTTACTTTTTAGCTCCATCAATACGGGTGAAGCAGAGCCCAGTTAACTTTACAGCCTTTGGTGGAGGGCCTGAAGTTTTCATCTCTCAACTCCACCTGCCCTTAGTCCATATCCTCTGTCTTTTGGCATACCCTGATCTCCCTTTTCCTCTAGATTCCCTTCGTCTTCCATACTGGACTCT